CATTCTTTCTCTCTCATTTGCTCCAGGCACAAGCTTCATGTGATCATGGGTGAGATTTACATGCTCTCCGTGTTCAATGAGACGGACAAGTTTTGCAGTGTTCTCAGTTTGGATGGGTGAGAGACATGCACATAAACTATCTCTCTCGTATTTCTGTGCTTTTTAAATTCTAATTTACTTAGTTTTCTGCTTAATGAACTAATGTGCCCTGAGCTGAAATGTACTTCATTACATGTCAAGGAAAATTGAATGTTGTGTTTAATGAATTCTAGTCAAACCCCTTAAAAGTGTATTTCGCCCAAAAATTACAATTTGTTGACGGAATTAAAATTTTTAGCTGAAGTATTATTTTAATCTTTATTGTTATGTCAGAAAGGGCTCTATTTGCTCGGGGTGCATGTGAATAATGCTTGTACTAATCATTACAAACTACACAAATGCTTGCACAGGTTGCCAGATCCCCAGAGAACCCATGTTATGTGGGGCGTCAGTAAGGTATGTCACTATTTCATCTGTCAGAAAAGCATTTCCTCAGATTCTTTGTATTGCTTTATTGCATTCAAACATTGTTGTGTACACATATAGGACTTTGCTATGGCAGGAATGCGAGTTGGCATGGTCTACTCGGAGAATGGAGATTTGGTGCAGGCCCTGGATCAGCTGGGCTGCTTCCACGGAGTCCCAGGACCCACACAGTACCAGATGGCCCAGCTTCTCAGAGACAGAGGTACACGTTCTCTTCCTGGCTTTGTCAATGTTTTGTCTGTTTTTCACTCTATGGTTGATTCACAATTCCCATACATTCCATCCTGTCTAGTATGCAAGATTAGTGTTGGTGTGTCCCAAATCGTACTGTTAAAAGGATGGTCTATTGTTTCCGGTTGGTTTTTCCATGCCTTTATGTACTTAGGGGGCGTTTACCTGACACGTTTGCAACTAAAAATGGAAAACGTTTTATGCATTTTTGGCCATTCATTTACACGAAAATGGCGTTTGGGGGCCTGAAAACG